TGGTGCTTTGGAGGTCGATCTCGTGCCTTCCGTGTTGCATCGTCAGCGTTCCGCTGATCGGTCGAGGCCAGCTTCCGCAACTTCCTAGTCTGCGATAATCTTGTTATTTTATTTCAGGGTTTCCTTTTATATCCACTACCCTGTTTATTTTAATTTATCAATACATCATTTAATTTATTCCTTTGGCACGTTTCGTGGCGCAATTGTCACTTGTGCAATACCGCACTCGTGACACTATTAAAAACTTTATTTTTGAAAGCTGGACCAGTTTGGATCATTTTCATTCGGAACAAAATTTGGGACTTTGTCAAATTCACATATGGTTTACATCTCTGTTTAATTGCAACGAATTTGTTAACTAAGTTAGGAAACAATAATGAAAAAATTTATAATTAATATTTAATAAAAGAAAATCGAACAGTGATGGGATTATACACTAATATATTTGTTAACTAGGTTAGGAAATGATAATGACAAGCAATTTATTCGATAACGATCTTCATTTGTTTATACCTCAATATTTAACAAAAGGGGATTAGATGAAAACGAAATTATACGCCGGTAATCAATATTTAATTGAATTTAAGACATAAATTTTGAAGTTTAGAAAGAGAAACTAATTGTAAGATGCATTATAAAGTTTGTGACGTGACATTTTGTCCGTCACTGTGCGGACTCGTCGACGGCGGACTCGCGCTCCCTACCGGCTCGAAGGGCGAGCGCGTAGGCGAGGGCGCACGCGAGCGCGCCTGCGAACGTGCGTTAGAACTCGCGCCACTTATTTTACTCAGCAGATTTTCTTCTTTATATTAGCATTTCTTTTGCGTAATGACCAAGCGTATCAGGAAGCGTAGGCGCGCCACGGATCACGCTCGGCAACTGCGGTGAAATGTCGTTGTATCCTCGCGCCATCTCGTCCGCCACCCTTGGAAGGAAGATAAAAGAAGGACCGGATCGTAAGGACGGCGAAGAAGCTAAGGGAGAAGGATGCACATCCGGGAGCCCGGATTAGCAGGTTGTACCATTTTATATCATTGCTTGTAACCGCTGTCACATACAAAAGGGACCATACTTTCACCATGCACCTCTTGCAGAGCACCGGAGGAGGCCAGAATTCCCGGTCACCCTTGAGGAGCCGGACGGACGCCCATCGGGAGCCTAGGGCCCCGACGGGGAGAGAGGAGGAAATCCATCCCGATCTCCTCCGCCAGACCAGGAAGTGCAGAGGCCATGGGCAGAGGCGCCACCCTTGACAGGGACGTTCATGGCGCGCTCGTAGGAGCCAGGATCAGTGTTGTTAGACGGGACGGATTTCTGGCGCATGCGCGACGATGAAACAGCCGAACGCAGTGGTGTATCGTAATGTGTAGCCAGTGTAAAAGAAATGGGCGCGTAGTCTTAGCGAGCTCTGCATAAGGATGGGCTAGGTAAGGTAAGTATAATTTGTTTTATTTAGTTTAATTTAAGTATATTTTATTTAAATATGGAAAAAGAAGCGTAAAATTAGGGCATTTCAATCTTCATTAATTGATATTTATATTATTGTTTTTTTTATATCAAGTACGTCACAAAATTAAAAATTTTATAATTAAATGTATATTTATTTTATGAATACGGTAAGGTTTTTGGCAGTTTCCCTTACCCTTGTAACAAATGTTGGTATTCTATGAAATTCTGCCAAATTAAATATTTTAATTTAAGAAACTGTTCATAAAAATTATATTTTACTCTTCCTTCTCGTTTTTTCAGCTAATATTTTATTTCTTATTAAAAACGCAAATTATTAAGTTTTAATATTTATATATTCGTATATATACGTAAAATCTATTAAATATATTATATTTTTGTAGATATATGTTATATATGTAAAATATGTCAAATATATTAAAATTTTTAACATTTTTGAAAAAATTTTACACAGGCGACTAATAATCTCCTATTTACTAGTGATCGGTACGTTACTGAGCCTACATTGAATGCGCATGCGCCAAAAATCCGTCCCGTTTAACAACACTGGCCAGGATTCAAGGCCGCGCGGGCCTGCACGGGACGCGCGGATACCGTGACACGCGGAAGCTAATCAGCGTGACTACCTCCCCCCGCAGGAGGGGGGGAGCGCTAAGCAGCCTGCGAGAATCCGCCGGGAGCTCCTGGGCCTCACTCTTTCTGTGGACGAGCGAGCGGAATATTGTGAGAGGAGTGCGAGACTGCTGTCGACGAGGACGAGCACGAGAGTACCGAAAGTTATCGAGGGATCGGCGAGAGGAGGCCGAGAGGACGAAGGAGGCGACGAGGGTGAGACGAGCGTCGTTTGTAAGACTGCCGACCGGGGTACGTCACCGGGTGGATCGCATGTAAGCCAGCTCGCACCGTAACGATAGAATCGGCGCAATGGCTGCCGTGTAGAGCCGCGGAACCGCGAGCCACGTGCCATCCTCCCGAGCTTGGAAATCCTTAGCTGTCGCGTTTCGAGAGTCAGAGTAAGGGGAGTAATATTCGCTGCCGAGTGGAAGTAACTTAGAGTCGTTTGGAGAGAGAATCGAGGGCCGAGCCACGCTCGTTCCTCTCGCCACAGGGGAGTCACTTCCGGTTTTCGAGTAGAGTAGAGCCGCGTAGAAACGCGCAGAGTAGTTACGTTGTCGAGTCTCGTCGTGTCGCGTAACGACGCTTATTGTAATTGCGTTATCGTTTAGTATCGCGTCGCGTAGGCACGCTTGTTATAATTGTGT